CCACTTCAGCATTGCTTACTGGCAGTGAATTTGGAAGCTGATGTGTCCATGTCATTCAGCACTGGATGCTACTTCTGTTGTCTGAGCGACTACTAATGTTGTCTCCTCTCTGAAATAGCTATAATGATTTACCTGGCTTGGGATCTCTTATTTTTATTTTTTATTACTGTTTTTGAATGGCCCTTAGCATACTTGTGGACATTGATAAGAGCAGAATTGTAATGCTGGAGATCCTGCAGCTTGAGAAAACAAGGACTTCAGGAGCTGTCTTGTTTTCAACAGTAATAAGAGTGGCCATTATCTTTTAAAAATTGTCAAGAGAAATAAATAGATTTATGATATATGCAAAAGTATTGTGCTGCTTTTTTTTCGAAAGCACTGGAATAAAAGCCAGTATATTTTTCTGTATCCTGGCATTTCAATATCCATCAATTAAAGCAAAAGAATTAACTGCCACTGGTTTCATTGAGAAGGAGTAATGAAGATTACAAGAAGCCTTTTTAATTGATGCATTTTTAATATTAGTCTGTAAAACAGAGTTAAAGCCAAGAGCTTTGCATGTAGGCAGAAAAATTATTTTCTTTACATCTTTTTTTCTGAGAGGAATACAGTCTCAAATGAAAAGCTTATCAAGCAGTGCAGTGCAACTCTTGGGTGGAAGAAGACGCTGAGGCCTGACTCCATATCTTTATTCATGTCCCTAAGGATGAATCCTTTTCAGGACTGGCTCTTCTTTTTGCCTTTAGATGTGACAGGAGTTAAGACCAAATGACATACAAAGTTAAAGACCTTATTCTGTGCAGGATTTTAGACCTCAGGTCCTGCAATGAAATCAGTTGTGGGTCTTCAGATCTTCCGCAGTTGCAGGCTCGAGTCAACTGTGGAGCTTTCTGCTTCTCAGCTGTCAAGGTTGATGACCTTGTTAGAGCATGGGAACTCCTACCTTGGCCAGAGGAACGTAGGCTCACTCCAGCTTTTATATCCACCCCCTTGTTTCACCCCAGTGGGAGTGTGGGCAGCACATGCATTTAGTCCCAAACAGTAAGAAATGTGTGTGGATTTGCTGATGTGCAAGTAGTTGGTGAGTGCAGAGTGCCCACTCTAAATCCCTAAATTACACCGCTGTCAGTGGAACACCTAGCAAATTCATGTTTCTGCACTTTATATGTACTTGTTGACCTTCAAGTATATGCTTTTACGTAACAGCTTTTAAAAAAGGACTCTGCCTGAAGAATAGTTGTGAAATGTAAAGCTGTATATCCAAGGACTCACAGAAAGCACCTGCAACATGGACTGATTTCCACAGTCATGCACTGTCCCCTTCTAGCACGTTACTCAATGATCCTGGCAGCAGAGTCAGTATTTTCTCATGACAACTCTCGAGAGTTTTTCAGACCCCAAGTCCAGTATTGTGCTTCACTCCCCCATGGCTACATCTGTACTAATAAATTAAACATTGTCAATCACTGTCACTTTTGAGGCCAACAGGCCTGAGATTGCCTGCTTCTATTGCTAACAAACTTTTTACCTCCCAAATCGAGGTGGTTGCATCCAAAGTGCCTGTTGGGAGTTACTTGTGGTTGATAATCATTCCTGGACAGCAGCCAGGAGTTATTTGGGAAAGTGCTATTTGGAACAGGTCAAAACTGTTCCAGGAACTGTTACCACAATATAGATGGCTGAGTTCCCATGCTAAGAGTATTGCCTGCTGCTATTAAATGTACCAGTATGGGACTAGCCTATTTTAATCAGCAGAGCAAAAGGCTTGTTCCCAAAGGTGTAATGGGAAACAGGGCTACCATGAAAGATAAAATACCCTTGTAAGGTTGCTCCAACTTAACCAGTGCTTCTGAACGGCTCTCTTGCCTTCAGCCTGATGCTTAGGGGTAGTCCGAGCTCAGGTTAGCAGCCTGTTAGGAGGGTACCATCTTCTTGGTTTGTCTAAATTTTGGATCTCCTTTTACTTACCTATTTTTGAAGGGTATCAGGATGCTGCTGTGTTCAAATTAATTTCTGCAGCTCATGCTCTTCTTTCCTTAATATTAGTTAGTTTAGAGGAACACATTTTATTAGCATCTTTGATTAGCCCTTAAAGTTTTAGCAAGTGAGTGAGATGTTGCTCCAACTGTCTGAACGTGGAATACCTATGGACATTCTGATATGCTGATTTCCTTCTGGAGATAATCCTTTCCTCTCTGGAACATCAGTTGAACTGTCATCTCTCTGACTTCCCCCTTTCTCTGCAACATAGCTTGTGCTATGCTCTGCATTGTTATGACTATAGGTTTAATATTATGAAAAATGCCAATCAGACAGTATTTTGATAGTCTGGCAAGTCCAGAGGCATTGCTGGGTTTCCATAGAGATTATACACAATGAATTAACATATGTGACTGACTTGACTGAGTTTGTCTTTAGTCAGATTGGGAAACCTGAGTCCCTTTCTTGTGATAGGGACACTTTATTAATGTATTACTTAATTTGATGTAGTAGGGTGTTTTCTGTATTCAGGGGCAATGCACAGTCTTTCTGAGAAACTTTATTTGCTTCCACTTTTGTAATTATATTTTCTAATACTGAAAGTGAGTTAGCTTTTCATCTATCAGTGTCCTGATCCAGGAAATGCAGTGTCTTAACCCTCCGCCTCATTTTTATGCAAATAATGAGAACTTCCACATACCCCATGTCATTCTTTTGCCATCCATAGGAATTAGGACATCCAGGTATACCCCCAAGTTGTCGGATATTTCTTTGCAGAGCTTCAACCTTCTCAAATATATTCCAGACTTTCTGTAGGAGTTCTTAGTCTTTCTGGTATAGAAATAAATTTTTATTTTAGCAATTTTAACATAGGTAGAGAAACACAAAATCTGCCATTTAAAACTTAAAGTTCCCCAAATTATTCTGTGCAATCTCACCACTCAGCCACTCATCTCTCATGGAAAAATTGTGTGTGCTTAAAGCTTGGGTAAGAAGATTATTAGTTTATTTAATCTTGATCTACAGGTGCTTTGTAGATCAGGGAATCTTATGTTTCACTTGGTTCTTTCTGTATTGTGTGTTGGCTGAGATCCATGTTAACTGCACAGGTAATGGAGGAAAGGGAGTGAACTAGGAATGCTGAGACTCTGAAAGCATGGCTTGCTACAACTTGAGCAAGTATTCTGTGCCTGAACTGGTAACATGGTTTTGTATTGTGTAGAGTACCAGAGAAGAATTGTGCGTTCTTGTTCTTTTTCCCCACTTCTCCTCAATATACCCACTGACCAGCAGGACATTTTCCAAAAATGCATCTACTCACCATTTCAGATCATGGAGTGAAAGGTAAAAACACACTTGGCAGGCAAGGATTTTTCTCCAAGGTTAAGTAGCTGTCTTTGGTAATGGCATCTTCTTCCCCACAAAGCTAGCTGGTTGCCCTGTTAGAAGAGTAAATCTTTGTATTGCATGCCTCTTGAAGCACTCTTTCTGCTCTCACTTCAATACTTTCATACTTTCCAAAGCTGTATAGAGAAATACAATTGCCTCTTTCCTCTAACTCTATTCCTCTGAGTGAGCAAAGACTTTAATAGATATGCCTGTGACTGCAGGTTAGGAAACTGATTCCTGATCACGGCACTGAAACTCCTATTCTTAACTTTATGTTGTTGCTTGTGATTTTGTTTAACTGTACTTGGTTGAAACTGTGAGCAAAGCAATGCTACTTTCAAAATCTGGTTTATAAGGGATGCAATTGGAAAAATAAAATTGCCCTTGCCAGAATAAGAAATTGTGGTGGAGAAAGACCTGGGGGTGTTGATCGACAGTTGGCTGATCATGAGCCAGCAGTGTGCCCAGGTGACCAAGAAGGCCAATGGCATCCTGGCTTGTATCAGGAATAGTGTGGCCAGCAGAACTAGGGAAGTGATCATCCCTTTGTACTCCGTGCTGGTGAGGCCGCACCTTGAATACTGTGTTCAGTTTTGGGCCCCTCACTACAAGAAAGACATTGAGCTGCTGGAGCAAGTCCAGAGAAGGGCAACGAAGGTGGTGAAGGGTCCAGAGCACAAGTCTGATGGGGAGCGGCTGAGGGAGCTGGGGTTGTTTAGCCTGCAGAAAAGGAGGCTGAGGGGAGACCTGATTGCTCTCTGCAACTACCTGAAAGGAGGTTGTAGTGAGGTGGGGATTGGTCTCCACTCCCCCGTAACCAGTGATAGGATGAGAGGAAATGGCTTCAAGTTGTGCCAGGGGAGATTTAGATTGGATATTAGGAAGAATTTCTTCACTGAAAGGGTTGTCAAGCATTGGAACAGACTGCCCAGGGAAGTGGTGGAGTCACCATCCCTGGAGGTATTTAAAAGACGTGTAGATGTGGTGCTTAGGGACATGGTTTAGTGGTGGACTTGGCACTGCCAGGTTTATGGTTGGACTCAATGATCTTAAAAGGATCTTTCCAACATAAATGGTTCTATGATTCTATGAAAATGTCGTGCAATTCTGCTTCAACTAAAGACAAGCATTATTTTTTCAATGCTACAAAATGCCTCAAAGTGTTTCTGCTTGATTAAGTAATCTGTTGTAAGGCTGCATTGTATTAACCATGAAGGAAAATTCCTTAAAATAATCTTTTAAATTATGTATCTGAGATTTATAGATCTGGTAGGAGGATTTGCAACAATTCAGTGAAGCAATTGCATCCTGATGAAGTCCAATGGTATGCGAGTCTGTGTTTTAGGAGCTTTACAATGAAGAAAGCAAGCATAGCCACTGTAAACCCCAAATATGCAAATGACAACAATTGTTTGCTTAAAAATTCCTCCCAGCAAATGTCTTATCCACAATATGGGTTCTGTATCCTCTGTCCCATTTCATTCTGTCTCCATAACCTTTTGTTCCACCTGTGATGTTTTTCAGAAGTCACGTGATAAAATGTCTAGGCTAGATTCCAAGGGTGGAATAAAAAGCTGTATTTATTTTTATGGAAGCACTAACAATTCTATTTGGATTGGATTTCTTCGTAGCAAAACCAATGAATTATTGAACAGATTGGACTTGGGTTTGCCAAGGAGTGATTCCTGTCGGACTGCTAGTCGTGGCCCAGAATCTACAGCATGGGTAAGCAAAACTATGGCATGTGCTTTATTTTCTGTCAGCTTTCCAGGTTCTGTCAATAGCGTAATATTAGAATATTCTAATTGAGCTTAATTGCCTAGACATAAGTCAGTGAGTAGCAAGGAGTCTTTCTGGGTGAATGAGATTGCCTACATTGTCTCTTACACACTGGCAGAATATCCTACATAGTAGGCGACTGCCTTTATTACTCATAGACCTCTCTCTCATAAATGAGAGACAGATTTCTATTCTAAGGTCAGATCAGATCTTAAATGAGCTATGCACCCATCTGTTGGTGGCAAGCTTTTATGAAATCTCAACTAGTTCATGTCAGTGGATGCTTTACTGCATTGAAAATCAGTCAGAAGAGAAGCTTGTTTCTCACTGCATCCTAAAAGTGATTCCATAGGCTGCTTGGGGACTTTGTCCCATTTTGAATGAGCCTGGTAAGTATCAATGTCATTAGGAAATAGATAAGTATTGCTTAAGTTTCTTTATTCTAATTGCCTCAGAAAGAGTCTTTCACATATGATTAGTCTCTTCATGTCTAAACCAAGTGAGGTGAAAAGTTGCAACGAGGGATACCAACCCTGAGAAACAAATATTTCTGCTTTAGGGAGGTTTGTAACTGGGGGAAGACAGAGAGCAGGCAGCCAAGTGGACAGAAATTGTTGTTACAAGCAATAGTCCTTAGTCAGCAGAAACTTGGAAGTGTCCAATGTGAGCAACCCTTTGTTGTATACAGCCTTGAATACCAACAGTTGAATAAAGGGACAGAAAGATTTACCTCCATATTTCCTCGTCAACCTTGGAAATGTGCAAGATCCTCCTGTTATAGAAATTGCTGTAAACAGAATATATGACAGCTCTGTCTTGCTTCTAGTATCTTTTCCTGGTTTTCATTGCATGAAAAGGGAAGGTGATATTGAAAATAAGTTCCTTTCCGCTTTGATTCCTTGGGTCATTTTGTGTCTCTGAAAACCCTAAAGAAGTCCTAGCATATATGGGCAGATACACAGCTTGAAGGAGCCAACTTCTACCCAGCATTGCTGGGCAGAATGTCAGTTGCAGGAGAGTGGCTTTCAGACTGTCTTTTGTAGTCCTGGGTGGACAAGCAAGATGAAAGACTATGGGAAGGCAGAAAAGATGTCTTGAAACCACTTCTACCTCCCTCTTTAAGTATCTGACTCTCCAAACAGTGGGGAGCTTGTTCTTTGGTAGGGAAAACCCAACTCTGCAGCCTTTTGTATGATATGAACATTGAACTGTGAAGACAAGTGAGTTCATGTCCCCAGGACCGACTTGGATTTCAGCATTTTGGTGTGGTGTCTTCATATCTATGCAGAAGTGAGTGGATGCCTGAAGGAACACTGGATTCTTTCAGGTGTACAGGTCCTACTTTTAGACTTTGCCTTCTACTTCACCTACCTATGTGTACCTTTCTCATTCCAGTTTTTGAGGGATTTCTTAATGCCAAATTACATACCATAGTTCATCTTTGGCTTCACTAGTATCCAAGCAGATAAAATACGTCAATTTATCTGTACAGTTCTTTAATACTAGCTGATATTATACATGTCTTTTGTGTGGCAGCATTTCTATAGCTTTATGAATCAACTTGTCACTTGCTTATAATGCAGCAATGCAGTTAGCAAAACATCTTCCCAACCAGCTTGGATGAGGTATGGTCTATAGGCATACACACAGCCTCCGTGCTCTGTGTGAGGAATCTGAAGCACATAACCAATGAGTTGTTATCTAAATAAACTTGGCATAGTACCAAAATGCTAAACCAGCGGGAAAACTTGTACTCTAATTTTGACATTATCTTGGACCTGTCCTTTGTCTGGAGTAATTAAAAGATTCAGGAACAATGTGTTTGAAATAGTGAAGTGTGATAAGCTTAGGAAGTGCCTGACATGCATGCTAAAAGCAGGGCATATATAGGTGTGATTTTTTAAATTTAAAATTAAAGTTCTAAAAAAAGTTTGGGACAATGTAATGTTGATCAAATTTTTTCCCTCACATCATTTCTTTGATAGTGATGTTAATTTAGCACACCTAGTACAAATATCAATGTCAAATATTACTTGATGTGCATGAACAAATTTGACTTCTTCAGAGCAACTCTGTCATTGGTGACTTTTTTGGCCTGCTTATTTAATCAAGCCCATAATTAATTTTTATCCTGTCTTTCAAAGTGTTACCAATCCTGTCTAGATTTTTACTGTCTTCCAACTTGATTAACATACACTCCACAGAATTCTCCAAGCCATTATGGAGAGTAATGAATAATATTGGAACCAGAATGAGTCTCCCTGGACACATGTAACAACTCCTCCCAGCTCAAAATTGAGCTATTAATAATCGCTTTCTCTATTCAGTCTTTTTAGCAAATTATGCGCCTGTTGTTTTAATGGTGTCATTCTGCATGCGTATATCGAGTTTCGAGAACATTGTGTAGACCTGTAACATATTCCTCACTGAAGTCAAACCTTCACACTTCTTGTACTAAATTATACTGGCTCATTATTTAGTATGCTCCACTATGTCCCTGCTCAAAGACTTTACAGTGTAAGTTCCTGTATATAAGACCCTAAGGATCCTGTAAGATCCTTATCGTAGGCTGGCCCTTTACTAACAACTACAACTTGTGAAAGACCAGGGCTAGTTTTTGTGATGAAAACTTACTAGAGTTGAATACATTATTCATGACGCGTAGTTCAGATTTTCAGTTCTCTTGGCTGCCCCACAAATAATATAGCAGATCTGATCTCTCGACTTCTGTTGCTCTGCCTCCACAAATACCTTTCCACAAATAATCCTGGGTTCCCCTCTGTTACCAGGCCTCTGTTCTGTTTTTTTATCGTGGTGATATTTTCGGTACTTTTCTTTCTTCCCAGAATACCCCATCTCACTATCATATATCCTGATTGTGTTTTCTGACTGCTGGGGGTGTCTTTGTGCTTGCCACCGGGACACGGAATAGCATGTGCTGTGGCTGCCTGGTTGTGATGGGCAAGTGGACGTTCAGGCAAAGCGAATGACTGAGAGGCTTTAGACCACTTCTTGTTTAAATTCTAGTCTTGAGACTAATCTTTTTTTTAAGTGACTGGAGTCATTCAGCCATTTCTATTTTGTTAATTACCTGTATAATGATTCAGGAATAAGGTTTGGGATTTTGCGCCCCCCTCCCCACACCAATATGTTTATATTCTCTGCTGAACAATAGATGAGAAGCCATACTTATAAGCAAGCTCTTCGAGAGGATGAAAACAGAAGATTAGAGGAAATGAAGCAAGAACAACGGAGGAAGGTAATTATACATTAACAGTTTGCATATTGTATCATTTTTGCATGCTGTGAAACCAATTAAATACATTGATTACTTGTAGCCTACGCAGAGAGCTTCTCTTTAGCGAAAGTGATTCAGTCACTGTTTTCAAATATTGTGGCAGAGATGAGCCAAGCTGTAAAATTTGGGCAGGGACAGAACAATTATCTTCTGGGTTCAAGGCTATTTGCATCTGGATGAGTAGCTCCTGTTCGCCTCTCCATTTGACCAATTGTGCAGAGCATTTTTTGACCATGGGGCCCAATTTCATAGGCTAAGGAAAACAATTTACTGTCTTTCAGGCAGAAGTAATCTTACTGAGATATTCATGATGATCTCAGACTCTGAATAGTCTCTCTAGAGAATCGAGGCCCATGTACCCTGCCTTCGCAAATGGGGATATGGAAGCATGCAGATTTGCTGTGAAGTCCATATGCCTCTCTGTTCCCTTGCTAACCACCTAAATGAAGATTTTTGAATTGTCTAAAAAGCAGGCATGCTGTAATTGCAGGTTTGAACTCCATCTTCTGCATATGCGGCACCCATTGCCTGAAATGCATCTGAACAACTGTAGTCCCTCTGGCATAGATTTAGGTACCATATCCACATAAAATTAATCTACACAAGATGATGGCACTGTGCTAAGTTATGTGTCTTGGCTCCAGGTCTACTGTGCAAGTATGGAGAAGGCAGCATTTGAAAATCATATTAGCAAATCATTCAAAAACATATTAGCAAATACTCAGCCTCTTGCTATGCCTTTACTGTTACTAAGATCCAAATTAATGTTAAACTACTTCCCCAGGAGCAGAATCTTAGTGCAACAAATTCCATGCAGTGAGTTTCTACTAGAGCCGGACAAGCAGCTCATCCCCTCTCACAGATATCTTTCTTTAAATGTTGAGGATAAGTGTCCTCATTTCATAGTATTCTAGCAACCAGAATGCTGGAAACAAAAGGTGGGGAAAAAGAGAAGCTTTTCATTACTTTCCCATCAGGTGTATGTATGCTTATTCCCAGGAACTATAGAGGAAAAATTTTTTAAAGCCAGTCCTCATGGGTGTAATGCTGGTAGCTGTTCTATTCTTTACATTGATTCTTCTGTAGAGAAAATAACTACAGATGTGAATTTGCATGCCCCTGCTTTATGAGTTTGGTTTAAGGGACTTATGTAGAGCTTTAGACTCTTTGCCAATTTCCACGGATGTCTAAGAAGGTGTTGGCTGGTTCTAAGCCTGCTCTTGCTTGATACACGGTTCCAAGTGCTCCTTGCCTTCACAGTTGCTGCTACCTATTGCACAGAGTAATGCACTACTTGCAAACCTTCTGTAAATAATATGTATTTTAAAGGCTCCAATAATTGTCCCTGAGATAAATGTTGGCTCGTTTCTAGTTCAAACTAATGTTTATTAAAGTAATTGTGAATTCTGTCTTGTGTGTACCTCCTAGCACAGTGTAGCTATAAAATGTGTAGGTATTGTCAGTTCCCTTTTTTTTTTCAGAACAGGTTTTAGTATGTATTGCTTGATTTAGAAATTTTCAGTACGCTTTGAACGTCACATCATATACACACAATATATTTCAGAACATTACTCCAAGACAGGATTCGGCATATTGGAAAGTCAGATACTGGGTTTTAATTTTCAGGTTGAATAGTTATTTAAAACAGTGAAAATTAAGGTTGGCTTTTTTATTTCTTAATCCTGTTTCTTCTTTTAGGGCTAGACAAATATTGATACACAACACATTCGCAGTTATTGATTTTCTTCATACATTTATTGCATAGTTTTTATTTAATGTTCCACTTAAATTGATTTTTTTTAAAAAACTTTTGTGCTTCCATTCAGTTATTGAAGCTTTTATCTAACCACATAATTTTATTTTAGTTCCTATTCCTACTGCTGCTCAGTTGCTATGGAAAATATGAAAGATAGGTCTGTTCCTATCCCTTCTCCCTCGCCCTGCAAGCCAAATTTTCTTTGCAGAAGCTGCTGCATCTTCAATTCTTGGGTGCATCGTAGGGAGCAAGAGCCAGAAAAACAAGCAGTCATGCAGAGCAGAGTCATACAACCTATGTTTCCTTCGCAGTCCTGGCTAAAATTGCATTCCTCTGAAAAGAATTCCCTTTGACATTGTTTATACACCTTAATACTGCATAACATAGGAATGGTAGGCTGCTGCAATGCTGAGAGTTTGCACATGCTTTCACCATACCAATGGGTGCCATTTGCCCTTCCTTCACCTTTGGGGGAGCCCCAGGGAGCTGGAGGTGACACACCATGCCACATACCCCTGTTCTCGTCTTCTCTCGCTCCACAGAGACAGGAGGCAAAGGGCATGTCTCCTTTGTACCCTACGGGCACGATGGCTGTGTCTGCTCCTGCTAGATGTCTGTGGCTGTCTTCCCCCTTGGACCCATAGGGAAATTCAAACCCATGGGTTGGGGCAAAGGGAAGCAGACTGGTGTCTGGCATACCCCTTTAAACGCAGGACTGTAAATGTCTGAATTCTGCAACTTCCCACTTTTTAAGGCACAAACAAAACTCATCCAGTGCAACACTGAACAGAAAAATGAGCTCAGTTTTTAACGTAGTGCTGTCACATAAATAAAATTCTGTTGAGAGAAGTTCTGGGAATGACACGTGACTCTAGCTGAATTGCACCATGTGCAATTAATTGGGTTTGCAACATAGATATGTTAATTAAAAGTAAGTTTGTTCGGTTTTGTTTTTGTTTTGGTTTGGTTTTTTTTTTTCCACTTTTATCATTCCCAGGCTGAATTAATGGAATTTAAACAAAAGCAGGAAGAAGAAGCCAGGACAAGAGCACATCAAAACAAACAGAGCAGGTATGATGCAAAAATACAGAATACACTTTAATTGAATTCCTATCTGGAAAGGGTCTCAAAATTGCAGGCATTCATGCCTTAGAAGATGATTGCAGTCAGGATGCCTGACCTCGCCTCTGGTTTAGCTTTGCCTTCAAATGAGCCACTAATATCCATCATTACAAGTGCTCACTGTGATGCAGTATGACCCAGAGTGCCTTTTTCACTTTTTTTGTCCTATCAGCATAGGACACAGCATAGGATAGAAACTACTAGTAGTTTGATGGGTAACTACTAGTACAGTAGTTTCAGCTGGGAAATATTTTATTGATTTATCTATCTATCTATCATCTATTTATTTTTTTTTTTTTTTACTTTATTTTGGAATGGTCTGCTTTGTCCATGCCACATTTTCTGGTTGACTGTCACTGAGGTTAAGAGGCAGAGTGAAACGTGGGATTTGATATCAATACAGATGGAAGCTGCAGTGCAGCAAGGCCTTCTGCAGCTGCACTGCTTCATGCCCCAGGCTGTGCCCCACTGCTGTGCCTGCTTTGTGCTCAGCGGTTCTAATCTTGCACTTCTGTCACTTAACTGACTTTCCGTTATCTTGATGCACAGCTTTATTCTCAGCTTTGTTTTCTGCTGGGAAAAAGACACAACACTGAGACTCAAAAATAAAAACACCGTTTGTTTCTTTTTTTATATCATTAGGGAAATATAAAAAAAAATTACTTCTGTAGACAGCCACTCTCCATACTGTTTTCATTTCTTTTTTTTTCCTCTAGCAAAGGTATTGAGATAATTACCCATAGAAGTTAATGAAGGATTTTCGATGCAGTCCATCTCATGTCCCTAGATAGAAATAATCCATTATCTTGCATTTTATATCATTCTTACCAATAGCATTATAAAGCATTAAAACAACAGTCATATCTAAGCATGTGTGTCAGTCCTGAGCATTAACATGGGGAAAAAAGAAACAGTCTTCAGAAGATTTGAAAATATTTAAAACAGAAAGAGGAAAAGTGTGTTTGTATTTGTGCATGCTTTCCAGATTGATAGAGCAGTACAAGAAAATGCTAGAGTTGATTTCAGAGCTGGATGGTAGGGAAATTTGTCAGCTACACAAATTCTCTTACTAGTAACAAGCTTAGATGGTTTTTTCATTGGCATTAGGAAATCAGTAATTCTAGAAACCCTCCTTGTGTACTGAAGGCTGAAAGACTACCTAAGGTGAATTGCCAAAATAGCTAATCTCCCTGATAAGGTGGGTAGTGGTATGCAAGTCCTTTTTCTCCAGAGAATTTCGGTGCATTTCTCGCAGCAGCCGAGGTATGCCTTTTAATCACAACGGATTGATCATAGGATAAGGATGCCCCTAGTGAATTGAAAATTAAATCCACCCTATCTCATGACCATCTGTGGTTATGCAGCACAGGCTTGAAAAACATAGGAAGATGGGTATTGAAGTGAGAATGGGGAAAGCCATTCACAGAATGTTAAATTTCAAAAGTTTGTGAACTCCTCAGCTACATTCAATCATTATTAATTTTTTCGTTGTATTTTAAGGGTAAATAATGCTTTCCTGGACCGACTGTGGAAAAAAAAGCAACCTAATAGCATCTGCCAGCCTGGATATTCTGAGAGTCTGGACTGCCTCAGAAGTGATGCCTGCGTAAGTTTTTGGGTACAGAACGTGAAAGCAATGAGATTGTTTAAAAGTTGACCTTTTCCCCAGATACTTTTATGTGTCTGTGTGCATTTAGCCAGCCTGACAGAACTTACAGTCATGGCTGGCTGTCTACAATAGCTTTTAAGAAGAAATCCTGTCTTAAATATAAGCTTTTCAAATGGGAAGAGGGAAGAACAGCTGCTCTTGCAGCAGAACTCAGTGGGTTTGCATGCAAGGTACTTACTGCAAGGAACGGCATCCAAGGTACTTCCTTCAGTTCAGAACAGGGGTAGTAAAATCGTAAGGGATTTTTTGAAAGTCTTTAAATGAAAGATGTTTGAAAATGCTGTAAACATTTTAATATGATATTGAAATTGGATGAGTAAAGTCCCATGAAAGGTACAACTGTTCATTTTTTACCCATATAAAATTATGACAAAGAAGACCCAACTGAATCCAATTTTAAATACATAGTCTTTGTAAGGATTCTTTGAAGAAAAGATATTTTGACTATAGCCTATTAAACATCCATTGATTTTTTCAGCTCTCCTATGAGGCATTAATATGACTGTTATTTAAAGTTGCACTCTTCAGTGTAAAACAAAAAATTATGTAGTATTATTCCCATCATGGAAATTTCCATTAGCTTGAAATTCCATTGCTGAGAAGACTCTAGTGCAGAAATGGAAGATTACAAAGACTGAGCAGCAGAAGGATGACAGTCTAAGAGAATTTAGTGAATATGCCAGTGTAGAGAAGGGTGTTTAGTTGACAAACCAGAAAAGCTTGAGTTGGATTAGTTGGACTGTCTGGTGATGACGTGTATGTTGGCAGATGAATGCCAGGAAGACTTGACTTCAAGCATCTATGAAGTCAGGGCATGATTAAGAAACAGATGTTCTTGCTGCTGAAGTTTTCCATATGCTGGAAGTGGAAAAGGAGTATCTTAATCACTGCAAGCCCTGGGCCATGGCAGCAGGCTCGGGAATCTTGGACTGGTTCTTTTGGTCTTGCTGAGAGGAAGGAGGACCTGCCAGCTCAACCGCTCATAAGGTCTGCAGGCAGCTGCTTGGAGAACCAGTTGGTTAGAAGCTTTACTGGTAAGGCCTGTATTGTGTGCCAGGAGTTGTTGGAAGCTAAACTACAGATGACCAGGCTAGTAAAAGAGTGTGAGTAAGAGAGCATTCTGTTTGGCAGGCCAGAACCATCTCCTGAAGGATGGCAGAATGAGAGGCTTCAGGTAGGACAGAGACGACTGATACCTAGTAAGGGGAAAAAGGTAAAGTCTGCTGGATGGAGCCTGGTTAACAAAGGCAACAAGGCCAGAAATTATTATTTTTATTTCACTTTGTGTCCTTTATCCCAATTTGTAAACAAAAGAAGATGTGTGACACAACCAAGATCCCCAATATCTAAACTCGAGCATATCTATCAGAGCACCTGCTGTCACGTCTGAAAACCTTGCTGTTGTCTGCAGAGGGAGTGGGGTTTTGCCTTTAGCCAGATGCCACAGAGCAGGTGTTGGTACCACCAAACGAGTACACTCAGCCCAGGCACAGTTTTAACAACAAACTACTCTGTAACGTACGCAGCCAATCTATGTGCTTTTAAAAATATGTATATTCAAAGAATGCATCAACACAAATGCAATAAAACCCTGCGTGTAGAAGTGATAAATTTCCTACTCTGATGTTTACTTAATGGCTCCCAAGGAGCCTGCCTTCTGTTGGGTAATGCTAGATTATCCTTTTTTCCTTTATGCGATGATGTGAGATTTGAAGACTAAACAAAGCAGGGAAAAAATAAACTGTAAAAGAATCTGTCATCATGGGAAGGAATTAAAAATTAGTATTGGCAACAAGAGCAAGAAAGAAAAATGTCTCTCAAAAGATAGGCTGGAGGCTGCAACCTCAATGTCTTTGATTATACCAAGATTCTTCTCCCTTCCCTTGGGATTTTAAGCAGAAAGAACTGAACTCCAGATGGGGCTTACAAGTCATGTAGTCTGAAGTATGGCATTTTACATTACAAGGGAGCTAACTGAAGCAGGTCAGACTATATACTAAGATTAAAAGAAATTTAAAAGGTTTTCAAAGTTAAGACCTGCAGGTAATTTTTGAGTCTACTCCATCTGAGCAGTGACACTGAAGAGGAAATATTTGTTCTCTTTCCTGCTTCTTTTTTTCCTGTTTGAACTCTTTACAGTCACAACGGCTTCACACTTAACAGAAACTGAACATTGCACCATGTTGTAAATATATCTGCTGTACTTTTCACTATTATTTCTATTAGCCTGGTTTCCTAAGGAAATTAAGTTTGTGTGATCACACTGTCGGCCTACATGTAATAGGGTTTTCAACCTGCTGGCCAGTCTTTGCCAACTTTAAAAAGGGAGTCCAAGTCTCAAAGATAATTAAGTTTCTGTACATTTCATGAAAAGCAATGACTGGCAGAAGAGAGACCCCCAAAGAGTGCCCAACTCTGGGGGGTGGTGGGAAGGAGCTAGGCACTCTGTGCGTTGTTCAGCTGCAGCCCTCCGGCCGGTCAGCATGGGCACAGCTCCAGAGCAGCTGCAGCTCTGCCCTGTTTTCCTGGGGGCTAGGGGATGCAAAAGGGGACATGGAGATCACAGGGGACATGGAGAGGAGGAGGGAAGGGAAATTTATTGTGTGTGTTTGGGTAGAGGGGAGGAGAGCAGTTGCATTGGCCAATTGTCCCCTAATCAGTTTTCATTAATTCATCTGCCCTCCAGACATCTTGTGTTCTCTTAGGAATATTTATAAGCTGTAATTTCAAGAAGGATCTTCATAAAAGTAATCTCTTCTCTCTTTTTGGTTATAAATGCCACGCTTTTTGGGTGGTTGTGTGGTTTACCTTTTTAATGGGAAGACAAATTAATGAATTTCCATTCTGTCTGTAAGCTACCGCACCCTTGAGAGAGCACTAAGTCTTGTTGTATGCTATCAAGAAAGTTTTGGTGTCCTTTGTGCTGCCATTGTCTATAACATAAGGATAAACCTGGGATAGGAGGGTAAAAAAATAACAATCGTCATTTTGACATCAAAGTTTAATCAATAAGATTTAATCCTTACTCAGCTGGGACCTATGACTGAGACACTATCTGTTCACTGTAATGGCATAAATGATCAATTTTATTTAAATATTAAAACACTTCTATTTTTACAAAAGAATAACTTTAACACAGTTGCACATTTTTATATTCACTCCCTCGTTAGATTTGCCTGTGTTCAAGTACAGAGGGATTTGCAGAGGCCGAGTGCTCATGCATGGCAAACCTATAACAGAGCCCTCGTTTATCTTTGACATGGAAATGGAGCACTGTCAAGGACCCTTTCGTCTATTCTATTAATAAGGAGAGGTCACATGGTGAACATATGAAATTCATATATCTACTTTTCTTTAATGAAATACTGATTGTCTTGGAACTCTCTGAGCTATAGTAAACCTAGAAACCAGAGGGCAACATGACATGTTACACTTTCCCATTTCATGTCTTTGTTACACCTGGTGTCATGCATAAGAATGAGAAATGCTCTCTCAGATGCCAACTCTCCTCTTTCAGTGGATGCAAAGTTCTAGACATTTGTTGTGGGAAGCAACTATGCCCTGAATAGACAGGTGCAATGTGTCAGGAAACCCCATGCTCTCCCTTTCCCATATGCAGAACAGGAACTCGATGGATGCTGGATAAATCTGTTTTGAGGAAACACGATTTATGGATAAAACTATTTTAAATAAACATGGTTTGTGGGTTAGCACTTGGTTTAGTTCTTGCAGCATGATCCATGGGAGTGTTTCTTTGGAGTCTCAACCAGCATTTGATTTGTGCTACTTGCTACAAATTTGAGAGGGAGCATGTCATGAAGTTTACTGTTGCACAGCAAAGAACAATATCTCAAAAGTGCCTGAAGTTACAAGGCCAGCATGCATGCCACAGTTTTCCATACACAATCAGTCTTTAATGCAGACTTTAATGAACTTTTAGATGGATAAAGTTGCACTGAAAATGCTGTTTTCCCAGCACAAAGACAAAGCTTTTATTTAACAAAAGAATATTGAGAATAGAATATTTATATAAGAAGGTTCCAGAGTGCAATCCACAAGGTTACATTTGTTTTAACGAAGAATGTGATTTGCTAACTTAGCTTTAACCTGGCTAGTCTATGTATATATATGTATATATATACATATATATGT